TATGTTGATACACTTGCTGGTCCTAAATCAGATTGTGATCTGCTGTGTGTTGGACTTGAGCTATGAGGACTCTTGGCATTGGATAGTGAGCTTGCAAGGTAAGCTTTCGCGTCCTCGGTTTAGCCATGTTGTGGTTCCACCATGTCCCATGGGGGTATGGTATATGCATGCTGTGTTACATGCTTTTGATGTTTTGGAAATGCTGTTGAGCTGTTATATGTTAGTGCCTTGTTGATATGCATAGAGGTATTCCACCTATACGGTAAGCCTGAGTATGTAGAACATACAATATGGTGAGGCTGTGGGTGAGGTGCAAGCGGTGTTCCTTGTACTACATGTAGGTATAGACGTATTCCTACATTTCTCTGGCCAGTAGAATAATGATTACACACATGCTATAGATATTTGTTGCACTACATAGTTTTGAGAACTTATATTGATATAATGCTTTTAGAACTTATATTGCACATGTAAGTGAGCTTGGGGTGGAAGATCCTTGAGGACCCCTTGTCTTACTGAGATTTCTGGTTTAGAGATCTCACCCCACGTTTGGGGAATGCTTATTTCAGGGTCAGGTAATGTTGAGATCTCAGGCGGCAGGAGGCTGGAGCTGAGTTAGATATTGATGATATTGCTGACTTGTTGGATGCTGGATATGCATGCTGTTTTTATGCTTTGAGCTTCATTCTATGATTATGATTATCTTGTTGAGACGTTGTTGATTTGGTGAGCATGGGGATTGTCCATGCCATGTAGACTTGTTATGTCTTGCTTTTATTAGAGTTGTATTAATGTATCATGATATTGTCCAGATTACGTGATGTAATGTCGTGACTTAGATACTCACTTTATATATTATATTGAGGTATTTCAGTAGATGTCTTATTGCAATTTACATTCAGGCGATATTTTATAAAATTGATTAAGTAATCAACTTGGCTAAGTTTAATGACGTCATAATTGAAACGAAAAAGAATATTCTGCATTTTTAATTAAGAGTAGCTTAATACGATGTAATGATAACACTACCAGATATATACGGGGTGTTACACTATCATTCCCGCTTCGTCGTATTTTGTATTCCTATATTCCCTAGTTTCTCTAAATCCCATGCTTTATCCCGTTTTGAAAAGTGGTTATTTTATATTATTTATATGCATCGAAGAGCCATTGGGCGGAGTTTTCTCCAGAACCTCTGGGTTACTGAGATATATTCGTATATCTCACCCCGTCTTGGGGGCTTTATTTCAGGAGGTAGCAGTGGTACGGGAGCGGCAGGCAAGAAGCCCATAGGATGAGTCATTGGAGGACCTGCACTTTTTGCATTTTGATGGCCATTGGCCTAGGCTAGACTTAGTGCATGAACATTCCATAGTATGTATGATGAGTTTCATAGTCATATTTGTTCATGTCATTTTGCCTAAGTCTAGTTATTTGTATATGTCATTTGAAGTTTATGTTTCAAGTTGTAATTTAAAGTCATGGAATTGTAAGTTGTAATATGTTGTAATTGCACTTGGATACTTGATGTAATATGATGGAAGGGCTTTAGGCCTATTTTAGGATTATGAAAAATTGTATGTTGAGAAATTGCATGTAAATGGACATTGGTGATTGAAACAAGTTAAGGATTTATAAAGTGAGCCATATGGTATAAATTGTGTAATAGCTATAAACTGAGTTGGGTTGTAAGTGCCCCAAGGCATTGTTGGTCCTTGTGTGTGCCACCCATTGGTTATTAGGTACAATTGAGGTATTAGAAAGCAATTGCAAATTTGGAGATTTTAGCAAAAACAAAGGACACTATGGCGAATTTTCTGTAGAATTGGCAGAATTTAGACGAATTTCGGGAGAGCATATCTCCCTCCCTAAAGGTACGATAGGGACGTGCCATACTCCATTTTGAAGGTTGTGATGTCCTCTAACTTGTGGTAAAATTTGAGAGAATTCTGGGTTGGACGCCGGCCTGGAGAAGGAAGAGAGTGTACACTGCCCAATTGCTCACTGCACTTGTGGCAGATCTGGACCAGTTTTTGGGAATTTTATTCCTGCTTCGTTTCTCAGTCAAATTAAGTGTATGATATGTCAAGTTGAAGCTTGATGTGTCTAGTATATGGTATTAAAATTTGAGAGCAATTTGGTGAGTGTTTTTTTGCAGTAATTCGTGGAGTGAAGAATGTTTGGAGTTGTTTTGGGGTTGGTTGGCAGTTTTGCTTGTCTAACTTCAAACGGCGATATCTGGAGGAAACGAGATCGAAATGACTCTTGTGATGGCTCATTGGAAAGTTATTTAAGTAAGAAAAAAAAAGATAGCTAAAGATGAAGAACTGGTTTTATGCGGTGTGTCCGCAGAAAAATAATAACCGAACCATGTTCGGATGAGTGGAAAACGTAAAATCGAGAAATTAGCTAAGTGGGTTTATGGGAACCCCTTAGTGACTTGTATTAAGTAAAATAAGCTATAAAAATATTTTAAACAAGTATTCCGCAAGAGTTTACAGTTATGATCACAACTTTTATTTATTACACTTTTTACGGTCTTAAATGCTCGCGTAATAAACAGAAAAAGTTTACTCGCATTTTTATAAATGAATTGTTGTGATTGTAACTGCGCTTAATATCATAATTAATGTTAAGAATACCGATATACAATGGGCTGTTACAATAGTGGTGCTGTCAGCGCGGGGGTCTTGTGGAATCAGCATCCCTTTTTCTTAGAAAATTCATATCTTAGGCTACGGTACTCCAAATGGAGCGCGGTTTGAGCCCACACGAAGCTAACGAAAAAATATAGAACATAATTAGGAAGTGAGGAACATTGGTGAGGTATAAAATCCTTCGTGTAAATAAAAAGGTGAAGGCATTTAGTATGAAACATGGATAGAATGAGACTTAGGCTAAGTGGGTTTATGGGAACCCCTTAGTGACTTGAGAGATGTAATATATGACAGAAAAGTATTTTAAATAATTATTCCGCAAAGAGTTTACAGTTACGGTCACAGCTTTTATTTATTACGTGTTATTATTGTTTTAAATGCTCGCGTAATAAAACGGAAAAAGGTTTACTCACATTTTTATAAATGAATTGCTGTGATTGTAACTACGCTTAATATCATAATTAATGTTAACAATACCGGTGTACAACGGGCTGTTACATAATGTTTGAGGAGCAATTGATTATCTGAAGAGAAAATCTACCAAGAGTGTGCAAGCTTACACATCAAGCAATATAGGATTTTACGAGCCCCAATTATCGTCCTCGGGGAAAAATTGTAAGGACGCATTAAAGAAATGCAAATAAAGAAAGCAATTAAGTAAAGAGCAAACAGAAAACAGGGAGCAATTTTTTTACCAAGGAGCCAGCTTGTCCTAGGTTTAGGTTAACCAATAAGTACTTGTGATCAGCTCAATCAGACAAAGTTGATGATTCTGGAATGATAAAGGACTGAGTTTATTAAACTTAGCTCCCAAGTAAGTCTAACCTCCCGGCAAATGCTTCAAATTTGTCCACCACGTTGGCATCTTGATCCCAAATAAGTGTAACCACCCTCTATTTAATTTCAAATATATCATTATTTTAACCAACTAAAATTTAAGGAAGGGATTTACTAAAAAAACAAAAAATTGACGAAGAATATACCCTTGTTTGTGTACTTCACAAAAAAAAAAAAAAAAAAATTCAGTTCAAAAGAATCTTTTTTATCTTGTAATTGTATTTTGTGATATTTTTTTCTCTTGGCTCCTACTTACGGTAAGATAGGATCGTAAACAGTAAATATGCATATGCCCTCGGTAAATTTACAAATCATTCATTCAAATTCGCTTCCCTATAATATTGTTCTCATAAGACCATGGTCACTAGAATAATTGATTGGATTAATGAGTGCTTCTTAAGTTTAGGAGTAATTTTGTAGTAAAACCCAAATAGAATTTGTTGTATATTGAGATTTTTTTTATTCTTGAACATGTGCAGCCTTAAATAGGCTAAAGAATACAAAGGAATGAACAGATTATAGAGACCATTCTGCCAATTAAATACATTGCAATCCAAATCAAAACTGAAATACATTTAAATCAAGACAGATATATCCAAATCAAAACGGCTTTAATTACATTCAAATTCAAAAACTGATATTCAAATTCAAAAGCTGAATATACGGGATACCCTCTCCAATAAACCTTCTGTGTATAAGTAGAGTCAACGAAGGGTGGTTTGGTGAGGGAGAAAAAATTGCCTTACCAAGACCAAGCTTGCTTAGTTTTAACTTCTTTTTTTTCCCCTTTTGAACTGGAACCAACTCGCGTGATCACTCTTAATGGTACTAACTCATATTTCCTAAAAAGGGATCGCCACGAAGCATAATTACAAGCTAAGAGATCATGTACGCCCTCTTAATATAATACTTACAACGTCAAACTTAGATAATTATTTAATTTTATGTTCTAAAATCATTAAGAATATTTAACACAATTTTTGTTTGTCATATCTAGTATCTTCTAATTTAAGAAACAAATCATTGATTTAGAGCATGCAAATAACGAATGAAGCACAAACAATGTCATTTTTTTTTTCCAAGTGCAAGTGAACTGTAATACAATAAATAAAAGGAATTCATAGTGTACTATCTCAATCCTCAAATCTGAGAAATCAATTTCCCTTAGTGTGTACTTTTCACACATTCTCAAAGTGAAGGGTCTCCGATATTGACAGATATGAATGAGTGATCTTCAGAGTTGCCAGGTATTGACTTCCATGTCAATAAGAATGTGCTATAGTCCCTCTCAAACTACAACTCAAAAGATAATTAGATAATCCCAATACATTACTGCTGGTAATATGAGCCAACTAAAATACCAAGTCAATGAATGGAGACAACCCAATGCAACCACTTTTAAGTAATGCTAAGCAGCTCTAAAGATTTTTTTAAAAAGAAAAAAATCTTCTTCCCGAGTTTTCACTTCTTACCCACCTAGCTTTGAATAAAAAAATACATTATGTGCTACTCGGTATCACTTTCCAAGTTTTCCATTCCTTTCAAGCCTCTGCGCTTTTGCTGCACATCCAAAACAACCCCAGCAACATTTCAGTCTTCCAAGATGCACAACATGATAAGATCATGCATGGTTTCACAATGTAGAAAAAGTAATTAACCAAATTTTGTATATTATTCATAAAACAAGATATAAATATGTGAAAAAGAGAGAAAGTGGGAGGGACCAAATTTTTTATATCCCTAATGCCCTAGCATCCCAACCTCAAGGCCTATACAGAAAAAAAGCCAATAAAGGGAAAGGCAAGGTTTACCTTTTTCGCAGACTTCTTCTCCCTAACCTCGTACCTGCTCTTTGTCAGGTCTGATAGCCACATCCCAGGAAAACAATACTGTAAACCAATAATAATGTTATTGAATTAAGAAACTAATTTGTCAATTATTCTGGTTCATAAATTAGATAAGCATAGAATAAAAAATTAGAGGGAAAATAAGCCTGTTGTATTTTTTATTTTTGTCTTCCTTTTGGGTAAACTGGGAGTGCTTCTAGTACCTGTAGAGTTCTGTCAACGTTCTTTGCTCTCTTCTTTGGTCTTTGAGGGATTTTTGTACCTTTCATAGCAAGAAAGTCATCTTCTTTCTCCTTTCTTGAAAGAGCAATGTATATTCTTGGCCATTCAATTACCTCAACAGTGACCTTGTCTCTATTAGGGACCAGTGAGGAAGCAGGAGGGGTGGGAACCTCACCTTCCTGTTCAGATTGCATTGAGGCAGAATCCCCATGAGCATTCAGTCTCTCAGAGGCTTGAGCTATTGAAGATCCACTTGGCTTCTGACACTTTGCTGATCCAGAAGAAGGTGTCCTTCTGTTACTTCTTTCCGTACCAGAAGGAGACAGTTTTGGTACTGCAGATCTAGAAACAACTAGGTTGCTGCCCTGGCCATTTCTTGAAGGTGACTCACATCCAACTGCTGAGGGATCTTCCAAATTCCTAGTCATGGCCAACAGATTCTCATGTTTGGAAAAGAGGATAATAATAATGCAAAGTAAAGAAGTTTTCTGCTCTGGGTCTTATAACAGAATCAAATTGTTGAATAACAAGGAAACGAAAGATAAATGTTTAAATCCATGTGTTACAATAGCACAGTGAGGCTACATTACATAGAGCGACTATGACAATTGTATAAGATTAATCTAAAGAAGTGGGACTTCTTATCAACCTATTTTCAATACTTCCAACACAAATCTTTTGAGCACTTCAAGTTCTAGTGAATTTTTCCAAGACCAGAGAAAAGAAAACATCCTGCGTTAGATAAATGAAAGCACACAATTTTATTCCCGTAACAGTTTTTAGCATAACAAGCTATATAATATTGATTATTAATAAAATTTGAAGCAGAAGAAATAAAATTCTTCAAAAAATTAAGTCTGCTATATTATAGATTCAAAAACAAATTGATGGAAAAATATTTTAAGAAATGGTACCTTTATAAGGTTGGGACAACAGTAGTAGCAAGGTGTTTGGAAAAAAAAAATATCAAGCAGAAAAGGAAAGGCATAAAGAATTGAAGGAATTTACCATAAGTATGAATGCTATCTAATCTAACCCGTTTGTACCTTTTATGTTCAACTCCAGGACAAGATAAAAGGGAAAGGCAGTAGAACCTGAGGAACATCAAGAATATCCAGAGAAATATGGAAAGATTTTTTATTCTTTTTTGGAATGACAAAATGGAAAATTGTCCAATTTGGCACTTCCAACTAGGTAGACAAGTTTGATGCAAACTCAAATGTGATAAAATCAAAATGTTTTCCTTCTCAAACCTCAAAATTAGTAGAATGTATGTTTTCACAAAGTATAATTACACACAAAATTATAAACACACACAAACATAAACGCGTGCGCCCACACACACACACACACACATATATATATAGACTATTTAAAAAAGTAAATAATAGAATGAAAATGTTGATACCTAGGGCTATCCTTTCTACCTCTGCCATTGGAGGCAGTAGAAGAAACAAGTGGTGGTGGCGGCAGCATAGATGAAGGGTGTGACTTGGCAGCAAGGGGGCCAGGAACAGTGTGACAGATTCTCCTCTGCTTGTTAAGAACAGAAGATGTTGAATCTTCAATGGCAGACCTGGATACCCTTGATTTCTTTCTGTGGCCCCACTTCAACAGCACATCACCACCACCACCACCACTTGGACTGGTGCTATTGCTAGTGGTGATGCTGATGCTAGGACTATGACTGGTCTCAGTATTCTGAGGAGAATCAAAACGGGACATTTTGGTAATTTTATGGTTTGTCTAGGCTTCTGCAGTGGAGCATATATGAATCTGAAACCTTTAGCTTCAAAACCACCACAAAAAGGGGGCGATGCAGATGCTGCTGCTGCTGTTGTTGCTGCTGCTCACCTTTGCATTTGTACTATTATTCTTGTGTACTTTCCCATTCCCATCATTCTGATTGCATGTGCTACCATGACGCTCCCTTTTCTTCCATTTTCCATACCACAAAACTCAAATCTCACCCTCTGAGGAGAAAAAAAAAGATCCATTTATATTATATCAGTGACAGCCCCACCATGAATGAGAACTCAATTCCATAGAATAATAAATGAATTTATTTCTTTCCTCCCCACAGATTCAAGATCTCTCTATATAAGATAAACATAACACACCAAGATCAGTGAATTAATTTATTCTTCCAAAAAAAATTGATTTGAAATATAAATGTGCATCAACAAATATTAGAACAAAGTGAAGCATATAGACTCTATCAAACCAAAAAAGGAACAAAAATGAATGAACTAAATTTGACAACATGAAAAGAAAAATCACCTCAAGTGATGCAAATATTGGAGATTTAAGAGAAGGTAGACCTAATCATAATGTTGGTTGCTGCAATCAGTTATTATGATTCAAAATGGAATTCTAAAGAAGAAAAATGACCCAAAGCGCGTTCTCTTTACAAAAGGGGAACAGTGCAGTGCAGTACATCGTTAGCGTTATGCTAGCTGCAAAACTATAAAACCGCAGCGGCCTGTGAGAATGAGTCATTTGAATCTTTTTTATTTAAAAAAAAGAAGAAAAAAAAACTCATTTGATTTTAAATAATATATAATTATACGATTAATGATTCTCATATCATATCAAATATAAATATGTGTGATGCTTACGTGAAATTATGTGAAAAAAAATAAATACAGATCCACATATTTTTATATATATATAAGACATAAAATTTAAAAAAAAAAAACATCTTGATAAAATGCAAGAAAAATGATCATAGAGAAAACTAACGAGATTTGATTGGATCTCTTATCATTATTTTCCCCTCATTTTATAATGCCATCTACAATTGATGCTCCTTTTTCCAATGATTTTATTAAAAAAAAAAATCAGGGATGAAATCCCCTATCATTATTTTGAGGATCTTCTGTGGCTCTATCACAAAATAACTGGGTGGGATCCTTATTATTCAAGATTTTTTAAGGATTTCCCCCCTAGATTACTTATACTAATAGGAGCCGGTTATATTACAAATCATTCTAATTTTCTACCGTTATTAAATTGAATTCAAATTAATGGTCTCAATCAAACACCACAAAATTAAATAAAAACAAACCGTTATATAACAGGTCCCATATTTTTATTTATCTTTAGTCATCGATATCATAATCTTCTCTCTCTTCGAAGCGCAAACAAAACTAACAAAATTTGTTACACTCTATAATTGTTTTCAAGTTTCTACCTAAGAAAATAGAAACTGCTTCATCAATACCTCGGACAAAAGACAGTATCAATCAGTAATGAAAAGCAATTAGTTGGTGACTAGTTAGCAACAATGAGTTTGATCCGTCGTCATTAATTTATCCTCTCGCTTAATGCTTTGACTTGAATCTAATTTTGATTTAATTTATTTTGAATATTATTTATCAGTTCACGGATTATTTGACTAATCCAATTCGAGTTTAGTAAGACTATATTGACAGAAAAGCTCTTCCTACCAAGTTTTAAGATAGATACGTTTCTAAAACTCGAACTCGAGATCACTTGGTTAAATTGGAATAATCCCTTACCAGTTAATACATATAATTGATGGTTAATCTAATTTCTGATTCTACTGTATATAAACAATTGTTAAATTTCAATTGCTACTTAAAATCATGATCTAAATTTGATTATGCCTCTTAAGTGGGGAAGCAAATTCAAAGCAATGCCTATAGTACCCTCTTCAAACTCCACTAATTCACCCGCCATTACTTCATCCAGACCATAAATACGAGCAATGCCATCGCCTACTTGAAGTACGGTCCCAGTATTTACAATTTTGACTTCGGTATTATATTGCTCAATACGTTCACGGATAATTTTACTAATTTCATCTGCACGAATGGTTACCATGAATATTTCTTAATTTGATTCTTTTTTAGAAGAAAAAAACAATGTATATATATAATTATAATATACGTACAATATTAATATTATGTTAATATGTGTAATAAAATTATAATTTTTATTCCAATTTTGTTATATATTTATGAATATTCTATTTTTTTAATAATCTTCTGTTTGAAATTGTATATTCAAAAAAGAAAAGTTGTATATATATATTATACTAAGATTATAATAATTAATTATATATAATTAATTATTATAATAAAAAAAACAATTTATAATAATTAAAATAATTAAGATATTGAATGAATATATATATATATTTATTTCTTATTTTAGATATTTTTGAATATTCAAAAATATCTAAAATAAGAAATAGAATACAAATATTCTTATTTATAATATTTAATTTATGTTATGAATATTTATATTAATAAGGGGCGTATCTTTACTCAGAGTAGAAAATCAACCTAAAAGAATTTAGCAAGCCCATTCAGAAACAAGAAAATGACATTGTGATTTGGGTTTGATCTCGACAAAAACAATACATCAATGAGAAGTTCGTTCAATAAGTTTAGTCCATTTTTTTTTTCTATTATAATAGAGGATAGGTTAATATAGATATAATATAACTAATATATATAATAACTAATACTAATTAAAGGCGTCCAAAGTTGATTTTTCTTGAAATAAAAATGTAATAAAATAGACCTTTCTTTTGAAGTTCGAAAAAGTCTAGGGAGCACGCAAATCCCAAAACCTAATAGTTTCTCCACCAAAAATAACCTCTCCGGTCGGGGAACGCATTAGATATTTACCTAAACCGGTAGGTCCCTGAGCAGATCCGTTAGCCCCAAGACGTTGGTCTCTAACTAGAAAAGTAAATGCTTCTATGTGCGACAAAATGCGTCATCTTTTGGAGGGATTTAAATATCTTCATTCTTGACTTGTCTTGCACTTTAAATTAATCTCATAGTCGACTAAAAGAGTCGATGCTTATGGGAATACCGGATGGAGTCAAGGTAATTAGGATTGGTTTAATTCCAAAAAAAAAAAAATCATCATCATTACTGTATGATACCAAAAAAAAAATCTTTAGAGTTGCTATGCTTAAAACCGTCAACAAATTCGGTTATAACCCATCTTAAGTGTGAGCTTGAATTATAAATACAGTAAAATATCCACCATTATTTTTTAATAGAAAGATGAAGAGCTAGTGGTGGTCAAGAGGGAAAGGTTCCACCTTCACCTTGATTTATTTAAAAAGTAAAAATTTACAGTTTTTTCCAAGAAAAAAGAAAACAAAAAATAGAGAAAATCAGAAGAGAAAAAGTGGACTAAGAGTGTAATGAATTTTTTTAGTTTTGCGGAATTCGAAATAGTGGCAAAGCCATAAAAAATTTTTTAGCAAATGTCAAATATTAATTTTTGAAAAAAAAAACAGTGGAGGAAACTATTATTTCCATTGTAACAGTCCGTTATGTGCCGGTATTATTAATATTGAGTATGATATTAAGCGCAGTTACAATCACAACAGTTTATTTAAAAATACGAGTAAACTTTTTTCCTTTTCATTACGTAAGCATTT